AGCGGTCACCCATCCAAGTACTAACCGCGCCCGACGTTGCTTAACTTCGGTGATCGGACGAGAACCGGTATTATTCAACGTGGTATGGTCGTTGCCTAAAAGTATATGCTCAAACGCGGGTTTTATACGTTCAGTATTTAAGCTCTGGTTAATATTCTTCAACAGGAGGTTCTACATTTTGCTCTTCTTGGGTTTGTGTAAACTCTTCTTCTTCTTCTTGAGTTTCCATATTTTTAGTCGTAATTTCTTATTCACTTTGTATGTATAATCTTTGACGTCAGTTGATGAAAGTTACTTTGAGTTGATCTATTACTGAATGCTCATTTTTGGGCAAGAAATCGTTTTTGGCGTAAAAACCATTACTTAATACTTTTCGCTGCTTCAACTTGTATCTGGATAGAACTACAAAATGAATTAATTTTGGTGATTTGAAGACGTTCTATCTGTTTAAAATATACGGTAAAACGAGGAAGAGACAGGATACACTTGACACACTATATGTATACATACATAGTGTAAGCCATCGCGCGTAGATTGAAAAAAAATATTCTAATGCCCGGTTGCACCGTTTGACTAAACAGTGATTAAAAATTTAATGGTCGTTTAGTTTGAAAAATGTGTTGTACCGTCGCTTAACCACTGTTTTGGATATTCTAAAAAACGATTATATTAACCGGCACTTTTTGGCTGGTTAACGCCCGATTAGGGACCGTTTAGTATATTTCCTTGATTTTTTTTAATACGGGTGACAGTGGCTATAGTCTTAGATCCTATTTGTTAGCCCCTTTAGTTAATCCTGCAACAAGAGCTGAAAGGTTATACATAAGATACGATTTAATTTAATTTAATATTTTCTTGATGTGAATTTGCGTCCACAATCAATCAGGCGATTTAAAATAGGTCCAACAATTTTTTAAAAACTTTATTGTAGTAGATCTTAGGCACAATTTTGTTGCACAACATCGATTGTTAGTTCTTAAAACAATATTTGACAGTACACGGCAATGTGCAATCTCATTTGCAATGATAAATACCCGGTCGCAGCTTCTCCCTTGATAATTTGTTGATTCATTGTTATCAGCGTTATAAAATAAACTGCACCGAGCACAATAATATCACACTCAATAATTGATAAATCAAAATCACTGTCAGTTTAATAACGCAATGTGTATTTGAAAAGTTTATCAGATCTACAGATGCACCCGCACTAAGAGAAAAATGTCGAATTCAAAGTGCATTTGTGCGTCCCAAGCCTCAGGCGCAAAGAGGCCGGAGTGGGAGCCGCCGTGACCGAAAAAAATCGGTTTACCCTCAAAAGTTTTCACTTCAAAAGTATTCAATCTGTGCTTGTGAGGAGAATTTTAAGCAAGCTATTGGACACCATTAATGTTGCCTCCGACAGAATATGCTCTCAGCATTTCCAAAATGATTATTATGAGCGGGATTTGTAATTCGAACTTTTGGGGTACTTGCAAAGCAATCGCTATACTTTATTGCACATCTGGAAACTGTGCTGGCCTACAAAATAAATATATTTTTCTTACTTTTTATTTTCAAGTTTAAAACCTGCTGCAAAATATTTTGTAATTATAAGGAAGATTTATAAAAAAATAATCAAATTGGACAAAGACTAAATAAGCTATATTTAATCACATTTAGCACAGCAAAAAATCACGACACGCAGTGACTTCCACTGACGTCACGCAAATCGACGCAATATTCTACCTTATATTCATAAACCCACAGTATCATGCACTTAATTACATGTCATCACATCAGTGTTTTTCAAGACAGAGACAAGCTGAAACAACCCTGTCTTTATCTTCAGACATCCGTCGCAGATCTCATCACAGGGCTTTTTATGGGCATGCCACCAAAGTACTCGTCTTTATCTATGCTGTCTATGCCAGAACCTGTGGCCAAAAACTAGCGCATATATCGTGACTGACTCCTTGCTTAAATGACAAGCGCAAATCAGTTTGAGGTTACGTTAATCAAAACAAACCAAAACGGGTATACATTAGGGCTCGGAATCAAACTTTAAATAAGCCGAACGGATAAAAAAGTTGTCGGCACACTAATTGTAACTTGTCAAAAGTTGTCGCGAGTCACCAGAACACAAAGAACACAAACACTTAATTTTATATTGACTTGCTGGAGGGTAAATAATTATTTTCATTTGCTTGTAAATATATAACTCTTTGTTTAAATGCTTGTAGAATATGAATAACTTATTTTATAAAAGTATACAAAGTGCATATAAAGATATTTGCACCTTGTGAGATTGATAATGTTGGTGTATTCCAGTATTCGAATTCTCGAGTTATGACTAGATATAATTATTCGCGTTTTAAATATTCGAATACTCGAAATGTTCGAGTTTGATCCTAAGCCGAGCCCTAATACCTAATACATACCCGTTTTGGTAAATAGAAGTTTGTTTTGATTATTGTAACCTCAAACTGACTTGCGCATGTCATTGAAGCGAGGAGTCAGATAGGATATATGCGCTAGTGTGGCCAAAACCGTAATTGTCATGTGAATTGTCACTTGTCAGTGAACCTTAGAGAATTCCTTCGTGTAGATCATAGAGAAAGTAAATTTTTACTTACTCTATAGTGTGGATCAGTGTAGGTACATAGTTATCGAGATTATTGTCCCTTACCAAGGAAAAGAATTTAAAGAAATTACAATGTCGTACATCACCGGCCCTGAAGTAGTTTCGTATGCCTGCACCTGTGGGTTAATAAAGCCACTTCCCAAACTATATTTCTGTAGGCATTGCTCACAGATTCGTTGCTCTTTTTGTGTATGTTCTGAGGTAAGTATGTAAATAAATATTGCTTAGTATCTGCTCCTAGCAATAGTACAAATCCATTTAAATAAATTGTATTGCCAGCAAGTTCAGCTTGCTGATGTGATATCTGATTCAATGTGTTGTAAATTATTTAAAGGTGGATTCTATTTTCTGTGGAAAATGTTCTGAGAATATTCCATCTGCAGAGGCTACAATGAAGAAAAACCGATGTGCAAATTGTTTAATATGTCCCAGTTGTCAACAAGAATTATCCACTAGGATAGCATCGAAAGGTCCAGCAAACCCTACCGATGCCAAGTCCCCGATAAAAAAGACCTACTATTTGAGTTGCTATTTTTGTAGATGGAATTCAAGAGACGTTGGCATTCCAGATCAACCGTCTGGTAAATTTTAGAATTATTTCACTACGCTAAATGTGCAATTATCATATAAACCGCTTGGTCTTTATCTAGTTGAATTAAAATATTAAATTTTAGCCACTGGAGGTTGGCCGCAACGAGACAACGTCCATAGTCACCGTTTACAAGATGTAGTCGATAGCTACAAGCAGATTATGTTGTCCCAAAAGCATAAAAAAGAACACGATAAAAAAAAGAAAATTGGAAAATTTGTCAGTTATACTGTAAGTTTCTGAAATCAGATTTTAGCGGCACACACACTTTACTGTTTTATACATAAAATCTTAACTGTCCGCTTTGTTACAAAAAAAGCTTTCAAGTCTATGCTTAAATCACTTTCTCGTTAACAAGAACGTAGCTATGTAGAAATTCGATTTATATTTAGGATAGAACTGGTGTCACCGCCTCAGCTCTTCGGAAAAAAATTGGCATTCCTGATACCCCACATGCACTCCTCAAAAAACCCAAAATGCCGGAGCCTGCAGTGGCGTCAAACGATGTAGACGAACTGCCTGAACATTTAATAACTACTCCATTGAACTTAATGGACAGTATGTACTGACGAAATCTATAAACATTTGTTAATCAATTGTTTTCATCTCTAAGTTCGCATTTTTCCGTAGTAACGACAGTGGAACAGAGACTTCTGCAGCCTGAGTCTCAACCACTTACTGTCGACAAACTCTTTCCCGTGCGCAAGCAATTGTCAATCAAAAAGTCACTAAGATGTCGTTGCTGTGAGCGCAACGTCAGCAAACCGGAATTTAACCCCAGTTCGGTGAAATTTAAGATTCAATTGTTTGCTTAGTAAGTTCCATATCTAAATTAGTAAAATATCGATAGAAAAATCATTTAAACATATTCATTTGACAGTAAACGACTAAATATTACATTTTACTCTAATGGGTCAATTTATATATATATACATATATATATTTTAGTTTAAAATAGCTTTTTCGCTTTAAAAATTCGTTTATTTAAAATAGCTGCTGAACTAAACTACACTACTATTGAACTATAATTGTCCAAGCCGGCAACCATACTTGGTAATTCACAAGTCGAATTAACATCGTTTTTGTTTTAAAAGAAAAAGATAAGGTAGTTTCTTGAAAGTAACACTCGGATTATTATTGTAGCTTTCACATTCCTGAAGTTCGCATAGTATCGCTCAGTCCATTAGTCGAAGGCGTTCCAAGCGAACTAATTCTTAAATTCACTAATCCCACTCAGCATCAAACTACCATCACTCTATTAAATCTGGATTTAGCAGAGCAAGAGAATTACGTAAAAGAGCTAACCGTTTCGGAGGTCGCTGAATGCTTGGAACATTCATTGTCATTGCAGTCGGTATGTAACAAACATTATCCAGCCTCGCAGTGACTGGTTTATATCCCGCTAAACAATGTTTTGCTTCAGAAACGTATATTTAAATCCCGAAACGTTTCAGTTATCTGCACTGTATGTTTCAGAAATTTTTATGTAATTGAAAATGTCCGCCCTCAGAAATGTTTCTGAAGCGTTGCGCTAAAGGTTATTTAATCGTTGCAAATAAATATTTTGTGACATTATACATGGTGAATCTTTGAAGAGTGCAAATATTTTAATTGGTGATATATTTTGGACCTAGAAGCAGAACTATAGAATTGTCCTGCTTCGAGGACAAAAATATACCACCAGCTGAAATATTTGTACTATCATCAAAGAATCAATGTCTGTACTTTCATGATTCTATAACGTTTTCATAAATATATTTACAAAACAATTTAAGCTAACTTCTTTCAAAATGTTTAAAATTTACAATTCGAACAGGTTCGAAAATTTGATGAATAAAACTCAAATGGCATATGTATATACAATAGAATTTTTATTAAATAAATAAACAAGAACAAACATATAATGTATGGAGTATTCAAGATATTCAATATATACAAAACTTAGTATTATGTAGTTCGATTACGCTCTTGTTCACTAAACGCCAAAGATGCCTGTTAGAAATATTTATTTTCTTTGTTCGGCTCATTTTATTGCCCTCAAATAATATTGATAAGCCTTTTAGTACATAAATGAACTAAACAACTCGAATTGAGAACAGCATAACATCGTCCAGCACATGGGCTAAGTTAAAGATAATTTAGTTAAATATACTTACCTATACTAAAGTTTCTACACTTAAAAAGTATAGGTACTTACCAATATAGATAGTATCACTTAACTACGAAACTTGTGTGCGCTAAAGACGTTTCTGAAACGTTTCCATGATATGTTACATTTGTGCAATATAACTGCAAGTTTGAAACTTTTGTGTAAGGTTTCATGTTTAGCGGGAAAATAATGCATTTGCCGCTCGAGATTCGAACTTGGAATTTCTTGTAAAACGTAACTATTTCGAATATGTACGGTTTCAATTTCAGAAACAGCCTGGATCTCTAACATCAATCTCAGTTGGATCCGGTAGTCAACCATCTAGCTTATTATCGTTGACGCCTCGACAACCGTCTATAACTGTGAAACCAAGAAAAATTGAGCAGCATGTTAATTGTGATGTAGAGATGCCCGAAGGAGCATTTGTTTTGCCGCCACGCGACGACGCCGCGGAGTATGACGAGTCAAGTGACGTCCACAATGTCGAGCATGATCCAAAGTAAGCAACCGAAAGTTAAAATTTATGTGTATTCCAACACTATTAAAAATTGGAAACTAATACTTACTTCAAATTACTCTATCTCTAGACATGTAGTATGGCGAAAGTCTAACAAAGCATTCATCAAATTACTTGTTGTGCCCAACGCCAATCTGCAAGCAAACCAGGATGTCGTATGCGGTTTCTCAATGGAACATATCTATACCAACATTTTGGTTGCTACTATGGAAAACAAACAGCCCCAGAAATCGCACCATAGAGTGAGAATTTTTTTTAATTTGGGAAAAATTACACGTGAGTAGTATATATTTATATTATGTATACTATAACAATAGACAAATTCACAGTTTTTGCTATTGCCGCAGACAGTTAATATCCGTATACCTTACATTTAATCCAAGTTGTACATACTTTCCTGACTGTGTTTCAATTCCAAATCAAAATTTATTCCTGGGTTTCAGTCATTTATTGTCTCTATTTATCAATTAAAATACATGTCGGTGTATTTTTCCAACACAAAGCGAAATACTGTTTATCTATATATATAAAGTTCTCGTGTCACAGTCTCCAAACGGCTTGACCAATTTTGATGAAATTTTGTATGTTCAGTAGGTCTGAGAGTAGGTTGTTATCTATTTTTTATCCCCCTAAGTGATATGGGTGCTGCCATAAACCCCTATCTTTTAATAGCTATATTAGTAATTCAATAAATTTAAAATAAAAT